AATTAATTTCTGCTTAGTTTTTCTTCAGCAATTGAGAATTGTTATTTTGTCTTCCATGTTCTTTTTTTCCTTTTACGGGGGGTGAAATTGTTATTCGAATTGCAGTAAGTGGGCAGGAAGATCTGTAAAATATATGGAGTAACGAATTATATATTTCAAACGGAGGGTTTCATCGGAACAAAGCTGAGACACTGCAGTTGGATGGTGTGCTGCCATCTATCGATGACTGGGCAGCAACACCGTAATTCCTTCCATACTTGGTCGAGGAAGCAAATTAGAGAAATTGCCCTTCTTTTTGCCACCAAATCAAGACTATTAAAAGAGTATTTTTACTATTAAATTGAAATAAGCTGTTTCGAAAAAAATATTACATTTTCACTTCATTTTAATGACATGTGAATATGCAAAAATACATATCTAAATGAGAAATGTTCATATTCAGTCTGGAATTACAGAACTTTTCCCGTCTTCCTAATTAAAATGAGTGCTGCGTTTCCTCCTGCAAAGACTATTTTATAATTCTTTCTACAATTTTGTCATTAAAAAAATTGAAAGAGTTGCCACTGTCTTCATATTATTTATTCACACAACTAAAAGATATTTCTATGAAATTTCACTGCGTTGAACATGAAAATGATGACAAGAAATGTGAAAGGGAAATCTTTGAATGCAATTAATTTGGGTTTCCTCCCTCACAAATATCATGATTATGGCAAAAGGCACAACAAGGAGTTGTGGAAGAGTTGCATGTGAATATATAATTAAGCGAGTGAAATTCATTTAATTATCCCGCAGCAGGGGGTGAAGAATAAAAGTAATAGTCTCTCAAGAAGTCTCTGGGAAGCATCTCACGAGCTTTATGATGAATGTTACGAGCAGGAAAACTAATTAGTAGCCAGTGGAGACGCCATTTTGGCTCAATTTTCCTCCAAATGCAGATTTTTCCTTTTTATTCCGTACCTCTTCTCGTGCCAAGCCATAAGGACTCCACAAGGGAAAATCTCGGGCCAGAAATGAAAGGAGGAAAAATGAAGGGTGGAAAGATTATTCATTCACTCCTGCTCGTGCATATTTCCTTTGTACCACTTTTGCAATTGCAAAACACTCCCACCACACTTTTTTGTCGCTCCGACTCTTTCATGTGTACCAGAAAAATATAATTCGAGAACGACAAGTGAATTTCTTGAAATTGTGGGCAACAGCGAGAAAAGAGGCAAAGAAATGTTGATAAAAATCGTTCAAAGTTAGTTTTGAAATTGCTAAAATTCAGAGTGTTTTGTAATGGCGATGAATCTTATGAATACCTAACATTTTTTTCAGTACAAAGAATGCTGTATTATATGCGCACATAAGAAAGAAATCGATCGGCAAACAAGTTACTGGAGAAGGAAAGGGATTTTCTTTATGACCGAATATCGAATTGTGACTGAGACACGCACACAAATCTCCTGCAAATTGACTTATTTATTCAATTTTCCCTTTATTCTATTTCCAACTGTGTGAAATTGAAGCTTTTCACTTCGTATCGCATGCTTCGAACAATGGCAAATCACTCCAGGAACACTGAAGTGAATTGCCCGAGTAATTCCTTTTTTTTCGTCCGAAATCACTGAATATCGAATTTCTCCTCTTTCCTCTTCACATAACACATTTTGTTCTCAATCATTCAGCAAATTTCTTCTTAAGTGCTCAAGTATATAGTTTCCTTTTCTCGTCCAAATTCATTCCAATTACATTTTCTTTAGTGACAGTCAATTAAATTTTTGAGAGGTAAATGAAATGTATTTTCATGTGGTTTTAGGATAAAAAAAACACAGGAAAACTACAATGAAATTCAATACTAGATCAATTAAACTCCTCGAATATTCTCAACTTAAGCTGCAATAAGATATTCAAAGATTGTCATTTAATAAGTGTCTTGAAATTGATTACGATAACAATATAAGGGATTCGACAACACCAGAAGAAGTGCTATAACATACAAAGTCAAAAATATTGCCATTTTCAAGAGACAAATTGATAAATAACATTATTTGGTGGCATATATGAGAGAAAAGCACTTTCAGTTGGCTTGTCCATCCATAAAAATCCCAATAAATTAGATGGGGAAGTTTGTTGGGCAAATTTTATGTCTCTTTCCTCGTTGTTGTGGCAAATGAACTCAATTTATTGGAAAATCCGTATCTATGGCTTTTCACTCCATTCGCAAGGGGAAGGGCGCTCGCTATGAATGTTACTTGCTCTGAATTTCTCAAAATATATTTGTACACAATGTTTTGTGCGGTCAGGGGATGAATGGGAGGATGAGAGGACAATAGAGGAGAGAGACACTGCCATAAACATATATCTTGATTATCAAATTAACAAAACCTCTCTTTCGCCACCCACTGCGGAGCAGCGAGAGGAGAAAACAAGTGAGTGAAAGAGCGGGAATTGCGTGTTCAAAACAAAATAACGACGATGAACACGAGGGGTTTCCTTAATATCATTAATGTCAATTTATAAAAGCAAAATTGCGCGATTTGAGCAACATTAACAATTCATTATGGGACTCTGATTAAATTTTATATCAAATGTTGGTTGAGCGCTGAATTTCCTCCAGTCTCTTGCAGGTTCTCGGCACACACAGTGGAGTCCTAAGTGAATTTCATACACATGACAAATTTCGCATAATTTGCGACAAGGCTGACGGGTGAATTGAAAGAAGATGGAAAAGGATCCAATTCACAGATGAGGCGAGATTTATGGGCAAAAAAATTTCGCACTCATATTCTGGCCTCATTGTTGGACAAACACTGGCCGGATTTTATTCAGTGAACCGTCAAAATATTTGAAAACTAATTTTTTGCCATCTCACACCTTCATTCTCCCTCATCAACCTTCGTCACTTGATTCTTCTGCGAGCTTCGAGAGGTGCAACATTGAGAGTGATGGAGAGACGTTTTCTCAAGCTTCTGCTACATCAGCACCTCCTGTTCCATCTCACGACCATCATCTATCCCAAATTGGACAATGAATTTCTTCTGCACCTTCTTCAATTAACCCTTTCGCACGTCGCCTTCACAAAGTAATAAAAATACACCGTTTCAAACAAACACTCACTGTTTGAATAGATTCATTTCAAATTTCAACTGACCCTCAACATTTTTAACGTTTGAACACTTGAGAATGCTGTTTTTCGGAATTGAGAAAAGAGAAATTTATAAAACAAAAATATTAGGATTTATTAAACACATTAACAATAATAATCCTTTATATTCACTTCGATAAGAGTTTAACCCCAGTTTAGAAGATAAGAGCTCAAGAAAGAAATATATATTTTAAAAACTTCTCAATATGCACAATTATTAGAATTCTATCTGATGCCGAAAAAAGATTTAACCTAACGGAAAAGGTAAAGATTGGAAAGACAAGGACCGTTTATGTGAAGCCGCGACGAAGCCACATTATGTTTAAAATGAAATCTCATGCAACCTATATGTAATTTACCACATTTCCCAAAGCATGAAAATTGCTAGGTTGATTGCGGAAGAATGCTCTGCGAATACCATAATTAGTGGATTCCACATGGAGCATCGTGTCCGTTAATCCCGCATTGTCAATGTCGGCATCATTTGCAAACGAGAAGCATCAAACATGGAATTGTTGCATTATTTTCAATTATACGCATGAGTGTTGGTTTGCATGATATTCACCTTCAAAATAGATTAATTACTGTCATCAATGATAGTCATAGTGGAAGACTTCATTTCACTGCCATTTGAAAGGCCCATCATAATCATTTCCCTACCAGGGATTTCATTGCATTTCAAAATTAATTTGCACTTTCCTCTTGCTCTTGTACATCATCCACAATAAATTGATGTGATGATGATCAAGTAAGGCGATTGAGAAATTATAATCCGGAGTGCGGACAAATGTAAACAATCTATATAGCATTTTCATAGTTCGTGGGAGAGAGAATTTCTCCTTAGAGCAGCAAATCATGCGTTTTTGAGGGATTGAGAAAAAACACACTATTTCTCATTATCCAATCTCAATCCGTCTTTCCGATAAAGTAACTCTAGATTGGATGTACCATTGAGTCGCTACTTTCAGCTCTTCACACTGAATTGACTCTATCCTTCAACATGCTACTTTCCCCAGGATCCTTCAATGGATGTAGCCAATCGATAGATTACTAATTATCGATGTTTAATTAACATGTTCTCATTGTTGACGCTGCTTTAGCAAAATCAGCCTTTTCTCCTCTTGGTCACGACAAATAGGGACAGCGATACGGGAATCTGGATGGTGGAACAGAGACGAGGATGCCAGCTTGGGGTTATTCATTCTCCACTTTGGCCCCTTTTCACACTCACTCAACCGGCACGCTGAGAGTGGATCCGGACTTTCTAAAGGGTGACCTGAAGAGAGGTCAATAGGGAAGTGTGTTGGGCAGAGCGAGAAGACAGTGAGGGTGTTTGGTCATGCGCTCAATGGTGACTTCTTCCATTTCTGGGCAGGAATTCCACGAGCTCCTCCATACGTATTCATCCCTACCCCGACCGCTTCTTCGGCACTTCAACCTCGGAGCCACATCCCACTCGCCAAGAAACGCCTTTGAGAGCGACAGGGAAGGTATCTGTCAGCGAGAGTGAGAAGCGAAGCCCATGATTCAGATAAATGCGTTGCAGAGCGAACCGGACGGGTATATGAGCACACCCGGATGCTTCCGTCTCGCTTCAACCACCGGGAACGGCACACGCCTTAGCATCGGGCAACCCCCACGTGTCGATGCATCAGTCGGAGTGCGAACGGGAGTACACAAAAGATGAAGACTGCAGCGAAGCCGGTGGATTTATTGGTGAGGTGAAGATGTTCAGCGGACTTGTTGTTCATCAACTGTGGCGACGGAAGCATCGCTGACATTTTTATTCGCGCGTGTGAGTGAGAGAAAAATCGTGGATTTCCTCCATCCCTCACCCACCCCTCGTGGCAAATTTCACCACCCCCTGACTGTGATCGAGATTGACTCTGCAGCTGTGACTCGGACACTCGCGATTTAACCATCGACACAAAGTCTACGCCATTTAGTCACTCTCCGACTCTCAATCATGTCACTCCTTTCGCAGACTCGAGACTTCGCGGACGAATCATAGAACAGTTCCAATTCTGAGACTTCTACATTTGCTCAGTTCATCTCCCAACAGGCGATCCCTTGCAATCCTTGTTTGGAAAGCTGTAAATGGATTTATTTCTCGATTTTTGGAAGAAAAGAAAAGAAACAAACGAACTCCTGAAATAGTGAATTTTTTCATAAATGTGCAGAAAAGTGGAAATCCTATGAAGTGAAATAAATACATTTGAAGGGCAACGAAATTTTTCCCAAATCACAATTTTTCCGAGACTTTCCGTCGGCACAGCGGCAGCTTGAATTTTGCAACCCTTTGCATCAGTGAATTCGGCCAGCAAGCATGATAAAATAGTGAAGAGAGTGAAGAACAGTAAAGTGAGCTCCTCCGAGGCAAAACACGCAATGAATCTGGAATCGCTGCCGCGTCCGGAGACGATTCACGTCACAGCACCAGGAGCTCTCAATCGGCCACCGCCCAGCTCTCAGACGATGCCCCAGAGATCGCCGTTCGCCATTCAGGAGCTGCTGGGCCTCAGCGACTCCACGCGGCACCAGAGCAACGCCGTGTCCGCAGTGACCCCATCGCTCTATCCTGCCGTCGGCCAGACGCCCTTCTCGGCGGACCACCACCAGATGACTATGGCAGCTTCCCGGATGGCCTACTTCAACGCACACGCCGCCGTGGCCGCCGCCTTCCTGCCGCACAACATGGCCACGGGCGCCGCTGGGCCCCTGTCTCTCCACCATCAGTCCTCAGGTGAGCGCTCAGGTTTCGCCTCCCAGTGTTATGTCTCCAAGCGTCCAAACAATGCCAAACAGAGCCCGCGTGGCAGAAACGCTCCGCATTATGCAAAAATCCGTTAGCGAGCTAATAAATAACACCTTCTCTAATTAACCCTTTCAATTGGCGTATGAGCATAAAAAATCGGCCATTTGTTGTCATGTCATACGAAGAAATTGTTTTATTGGCCTCCCCGTGATTTTTGTCCTCTGTAGTTCTTCATCACCACATTCATGCCAAAAACAATTTAGACAATTAATTTGGTTTGTGAGAAATCCGGGTGGTATTTTATTTCCATCCATCGCCCAACACGCATTTCCATTATTCTCGCGATTCAATTGAAATTTTTGCACTTCAGTGTTATGCACACAAATTCGCGCGCACACAGAGACTGAATTAAAATGAGTGCGATGAAGAGAATTTATTCATCTATTGAGTGATCTATTTCACTTTAATTGCATTTTTGCCAACCATTTACACACACACGAACACTCCATGCAAAATGATTAATAAAAGCAGATAAAAGTGGAACTCACAGATAAAAGTTCGGCTCTGGTGACATTTGATCCTCTTGCTAATTGGAAGTTGGTGGCAAATTTGAGGAGTCTTTTATGTCCTTTTCGAGATAGATTTCCTTCTTTCTCATGCGATCTTTTGTTGGCCAAAAAGAAACCATCAGAGAAATTTCCTCTGTGTAATTTACACTTTTCCTTTTGAGTCCAATTTCACAACCTCTGGTAATTTTCTAATATCGTAGACTTTGTGCAGAAAAAAAAACAGGGGAATTAGAATAATTTCATCGACGCACATTTCTTGAAGGACAGAAAAAATGGACCTGAGAATGCGGGTTCATTCTATAATGTTAAATCTCGCACTTCAGTCTAGAGTATTGTAATTCTATTGAAGAGCCACTATAGAAAAGAAATTCCTCTATTCATGTGAAAGCGAAAAGGATGAAACGTAAGAAGAAAAGTTGAGGAATTTCAGAGTTAATTAGAAGCACAAAAAATGTCAGTATTGAATTTCCTTGGAACGTTTCTTCAGTGTGAAAATAATCCTTTTTCCCTCCTTCTGGGGCGAAAACACTTAATTTATCCTGTCTTTTTGCAATCAGAGGGCGAAAATTGTTACGAATATAAATTAAATTGATAGACATAAAATCTCAGGCAAAAATTCCTTTCTCTCATTCCAAATACTCCGCGTTTGAATGAAAGAGTGAGAGAATTAATTATTTTACACTTTGTGACACGATGCCATTTGAAAATGAAGTGAAAATGCTCCGTCTTCGTATTTAATTAAACCATTAAGCGTTCCTTTTGCACAGTTCCTTAATTTATTTTCCGTGCGAAACTAAGGATCCCGACGGATAATAAAATTCTCACAATTATATCTCGAAGACGCTTGAGATAGAATAGGTAGCCGAAATTACAACAATTTTCGAACTGAAAACCCTTCTATGCTTCAAGTTCCAGATCAGAAGTGTTTTATGTGTGTAAATGAAGAAAATTCGCCATTACTGCAAGTGAGAAGTATGCATTTTATTATGTCTTTTAATAATGCTTAAAAAGTATAATAAGAGAAGCATCCGATAATTTCTAATGCTTCCCACTTCTTTGCGACCGAATTAAGAAATAAAACAATCTCCAAAGAAATTTAAATATTCTTCACAGCTTGAATTCTTTGACTTTCCCTAAATGTGGCAATAAAAATAGCTTTGTGACAACTTGGGCACGAGTTAATTTATTTTCTCCACCGTCTTCGCGGACTATGAGAAAAAAAGCACCCCTGAAAAAGCACTCTGACTTTCGTAAACAATGAGAAAATTATCCCTCAATTTCAACCCTCAAAGTTGCGAATTCGAGTATCTTTAGTGGATGTTTATTTGTCTTTGCTTTTCGCGGGAGGAAATGAGAAAAGGGAAAATGCTCAACCAGAAGGAGTTAATTGAAAAATAAATTTCTTTAGAACCACCCCGAGCTTTCGTCAGCACTTTCACCCTTGCGAGGCGAGTTGGGCTTCTCTGGTGAAATTAAAACGTTTTGCAGGAGTGAAATGTGCGAAAATTAACTCTCTAATGATGTGAGCTTTTTTATTTATATCCACTGCCACACAATCTTATTAATTGAAATGTAAATCACTAAACTCGGGACGTGAATGTCCCAAATGATGAAAGTGTGCAATGAATTGGGTGGCTTGAGGCTCCTCAAATCCGGGGGTGGCGGTGACGGAATTAAATTGTAATGAAAATTCCTTTTTGTCTTTCCTCCCCAACTCGCGTCAGACAATAATGAAAATCTCTCGTGCATTTTTGTCCTCATGCTGAGCTCTTTCTATCCCAGTTTTTGCGTCCCACCGTGAAAAAGTGCTGGTGAATTGATTAAATTCATTGTGAATTTCGTCAACTTTGCCATCCTTCCTCACATCAGTTTGACCAGTAAAAATTTTGCAGTTTCGCTGGGAAGAAGGAGGATTTTTTTGTAAATTCCAAAAAGATACAGTGCGGAAAGTGTCCTGCAAAAGAGTGGATGTGGATTGAGTGCAAAACAACATTTTTCCCGTGAATTGCAATTGCAGATTATTTAATTTCTTTTCCATTCATAGCTTTTTGCATTCACAAATACGAACGACACGGCAGAGGAGAGAGTCGAGCACCTGCCCATGAGAATGACATTTTAATGGGTGGAAACATAGAGAACAGAAAATGGAAAATTTGCACGACTTTCAAGTATTAATTTTTTAATTAAAGCGAAACAGTTGGATTTGATTCATAGCACGAAAGATACGAGTCGAGAGCAACTAAAAAAAATTCACTGCACGGGATATTAAATCAAGATTCATCATTTCGTAGGGAATGGAATTTTTGCTGAGCACCCAGAAACTTTTTCCCGCCCGTGGAGTGTGAGAAAAGTCCCCGCGTGAATGGGGAAAATTGAATTTAAATTGAGTTTTTTGTCCACGCCAAAACTCGAATTTCCACTTGATGGCACGCCTTCAAAGCGGGGCCAACTTGAAAGAATTACTACATCGTCTCATTAGCGACAGGTAATAAATGCACAAAGAACTCAGCAGAAAGTTTAGCTGTGCAGCTTCAGCAGCAGATACACTGAGCCTCGTTGAAATGTTTCTTGTGTGAAATATATTCCTGCGACTTCATCCTTCATGTCTCCTCCACTTGCATTTCATCAACCCTTCGCGACGGAGCTGAAAATACGTGTTTTTGCGCGGGAGAGAGAGAACAAAAGCCACCCACATCCCTCTTTGTCGTGGTAGCTCTTGTATGATGATTTTCACACCTCGAAACAAGCATTTAAATGGAGCTGCCAACCGGAAGCTCTGACGCTATTTCCTTTTCATCTCACGAGGTGTGAAACAATTAAACTAATTAACTCTCACTCTTGCATTTTGCACCATTTTTTCACCTCTCGCGCATTCCCTCGCACAGCCATTTTTTGTGTCATCCGTGTCTTACAGCTTCCGGCTTTCCGGCTTCATACGCGACCCACTCAACAGATAGGTTTTAAAAATTCACCACAGCTTTCATTAGCCTTTTTCTCGTGATTGTGCAGCCAGTGTCTGCTCTTTCGCCAGCTGAGTGCTGAAAATGTCAGCTGAAGGTGGAAAATAAGCTCTGTTAACCATGTATTTGTTGTTTCCTCGAGCAAATGGAACAGAAAGTTCAGAATAACAGTCTGACTTAACCAACTACATTATGAGTTAGTCATTGCCAGTGTTATTGTACGGAAGACGATATTTAGCTTCGTCTCTAGGTTGTCTGGACATTAAAATTATGTTATTGTACCTTCGAATATTTATCTACGAAATTCAAATGCCTAAAATTCATATCGGATGTAAGGGAATTAACTCTTCGACTGCACTAAAAAGTATTTCTTTAATCCTCTCCTAGTCACACTTTTCCAAAAAAAAGGGATTAAGCGGATAGGGACAAATTTAATGTGTGCTAAATGATCAATAAATGAGATATATCATTGGCATTACCTGGACCATTGTCATTGATGTTTGAAAGGAGAAGAAATAAGAAATCGAGGATAAATAGACCGCCTACAGATGTTCATGTCAGGGACCAGGGATTAAATGTTGTCCCGCAGACGTCATCGCTCTCTTTCACCCAATTGATGTGTGAAATTTGATATTTTCAGGAAGAAATCCACACACTCGAAATTCCATTTAATTGAGAAGAATTCCTCCAATTCATACCTTCTTCACCACATCAGTTGTTGTTCAATTTGCACCAAAATCAGCCACGTTTGACACACGGCAGTGAAATTAAGGACCAAGAAAAAAACTGACAATGAAGTCCTTGTGATCAATGAACTCGTTGACAAGGGAATGGCTGGGAGAGATTTCACACTTTCTCACTGAATCCTGAGCATCTGAAGTTACTCAGACCACTTCTTCTCGTCGACTGGTTGCAGAAAGTCGTCACTCCAACTCCTTCTCCTCTGGTGTGCATGGAAAGAAAGGAATGTTGTGTGAATAAACAAATGTAGTGCTGACGCTGAGATTATCAGGAAGTTGAACTTGCAACTTAAGGATCAACTCAAGAAGTTCCTTGATGACCATTTAGAGACAGAGGAATACTTTCATGCTGTTCTTCACTGTTCTCAGGCTTCCGCATGACAATGTTGACTCAAGTAATTAACCCTTTAGCGACACCCTTGAAGACAATGAAAGCAAAAACCAACTCAACGAACTTAAGTCTGTCTGGGAACGAAGGAGTTTTTCCCGATAGCAATTGTTTGCAGGATGTCTGGAATATTCTCTCAATTAGTATAAAATTGGGAAATCTCAGTAAATCCGTACAAGACAATCGAATATTTTCAGTGTAGTGCAGAAAATGGCAAGAATGCATGCTTTTCTTCCTTTCACATACATGACAAAGGACTGAAAAAAAATCCCTTTCTCACCCCTTTCATTCAACCTCTCTTTCTTGACATCTGTAAATATACACACGTTTTCGAGAATTCAGGCAATTGTGTGGGAGAGGATTTATAGAAGAGCAAGAAATATATATGTAAATAAAATGCAAATGGAAAGGTAAAGAAAAATTCACAAAACTTTCCACAGCAATTTTCCTCTCGAGACATTTCTATTGTATCCTGATTTCGCTCGTCAATCGTTTCGCTTTATAGATTGTTGGAAAAACGATTTCCATTGTTAATTTTATTGCCTATATTCGAAACTAGTGAATTGTGTAATTTCACCTTCATCCTCTCTTCTCGTCTTCTCTTCAATACAATAAACATCTATTGATTTCATTCATTGTCACAATTCAGCACATTTTTTACGGCATCTTCACGTGAAATTCAATACTTGGACGAATCATTTGGCAAAAAAGGCAATTTCCGCAAGATATGCTTGTGAAAAAATGGATGACCAGTATTTGATAAATTTAGCAGCTGTGTGAGAGACACCTTTAAGGGTTAAGACTTTAATCTGATGGAGTGTCAAATGCCATTTACGAAAAACAGTCCCACCCTGAAACACATACTATGTACATCGATTATTTTGGTATGAAGCTCAGAAATCGCATACCTACATCTACACAACAGTCTTCATGACAAATCGAAAAATATTGAATGAAACGCCCCATTGAATGAGTTTCTTCAATTGAAGAGGAAAATAACTGTTCGATCTCCGAGATGATATTTGAACTTGAATATCTATTGATTTGAGAAGTCACGATAATTTTGTCTACTTAATCAATTGGTTAATTAATTTAAATAATAATCTCACCATTTCTGATACATCCATTGAGAGATGCGAAGGATTGGAGATGGAAGAAATCCCGAAGGCGAGTGCGCGCCCTCAAATTATCCCGTCCATCATCAAATGAGATTCTTTGTCGCCGCTTCTTTTCACCCTCCATCAAGCATCATCATTGTAGGTGTAAATTCCTCGTTTTCGCATCATCGTGAACGCCTTTTGATTGAATCATCACAGATAATTTGTGAGTAGCTCCGTCGTGTCTATTGATGACATCAATTGAATATTGAGTTGAGAAGAGATAAAAACGGAAAATTGTATTACCCACACCTTCACTGGACAATCCATCTATGAGTGTTCTCTGGCGAGCTGTTAAACCCAATAATAGATTGGCCGATTGTGGTGTGGCACAAGAAATAGCACGGTGCTGTACACTGTAATTACGCACTGTAATTTTAATATCAAAATTGGTCTTCCATATTGTTGGTGCGAGTGTACTTTTTTGCATCGCCATCCTCCACTATTATATTGATACTTCACAGAATTATCCTCCTCAGCAGCTTCGCATGTGCTTTTCCCCCCATTCAGCAGCAGAAGTATCACCTTTTATTGATAAAAGTTGCCCAATCTTGCTCTAGAGAAAACATCCCCTATTGGGAGAGAAAACCGAGGGGTGAAAATTCTTTATTGTCTTCGCCCCATCATCCTCTTAAAACGACTCTTTTACCCACAACCGCCACCTTCTTGTGCTTCTGCCTCCGCAATGAACCAGCCTGGTGAGAAGTCTTCTTTTCCCCAATTCTTCCCTCCAATAAAATCATTTTTTACTCCTCCGAGAAATGGAAATGGGAAAGTGAATAACAAGGACAAATATCGCGAAATAAAATAATAAGCAAATGATTGAATATCTTTGGCAAAGAAGGTATTAACAATTCTTTTTTCCTTTCAGGATTTTCCCAATTGAAAACCTCTTTTGGATCCGCTACAAGTCCTTGTTTGCCAGGTGAGTTGGATTGATTTTGATATTCTGAAATTACCTGAAAATATTGCAAACTGAAAGAAAGAATGAGAGTAATTATAAAAACCCTTTGGACAAAGATAATACTTACTGCAATCGAATGATCGAAACCAACATTGAGGGTTAAGAACCGGAGATAAACGCGAATCAGAATTTAAATGAATAAATCACAAAATCATATCTCACATGCAATTTAACACGGAGAGTGCACGAGGGTCAGAAAAGGGGCGCTTCATGGACGCAGAACACTGGGCGATCCCCTCATCATCAGTATTATCATCATCTCTGCTGGTTGCTTTTCACTTTTGTTATTCAAATTTGGGACGCATGAACTGGGAGTGAAGGAGTGGCATGGGTTCATCCAATGAGACACATTTTCAGTATCGAATAATTGAATTAAATTCCCATTTGCGTATTACACTGGAGCTTTTTATGAGGCACTTCTGTACGCAGAGCAATCAACATTGCTACAATGTGATGTTTACCCTTTAATTCACAACTCACGTGCAACTGCAACTTCGTGCGATTTGCCGAAATTTTACACAAGAGGGAAGCACGTGCGATGCAGACATCTTGCGTGAATTTCGCTCACCCTTTCCGGAATAACTTTTTACCCCTGCGAATTTCACACACCTTTAGCCATTTATTTTGCGAATGTATTCCGCAAATATTGCTCTTTCACATATAGCAGAACACTGCAACCCCTTCGCTGAGTAAATACTCTTTGTTTTCAGCACTTTATATTTTGTCTCACCTCAAATTCATTCACATCAACTCACACGCTCAAACATGTCTTCCTTTTGAGTAATGAGCTGCCATCACTACACATACTTCTGCCCATTCTCCTTTTACAAATCAACGTGCATTTTTTGCACTCAATGAAAATGTGAAGAATGAGATGGGGAGTTGGAAAAAAGAGCTCATGCTAATTGAATGAAAATGAATGAAATAGGAACATAGCAACCATACTAAAAATCAAAATGGCGACGATTGTTTACATCCAAGAAATAGAGGAAAACTCTGAAATATTTTATAGTTGTGCAAATGATATGAAAATCAATGGAGAATTTTATGGAAATAAAAAAATATACTTCCAATAGTCAAGAATTCGCTAGAAAGTTTACCAGAACATCAAAGAATTGTTTGTAGTGAGGAGTTCAAAGAGAATTTTCTTTGTCGCCAATTATTTTTCATCCCAGTCCAACAAACGAAACTGAAAAGTAGTTTTCTACTTGAATTAAATGCTTCAATATGTCTGTCGGGATAGAGTAAAGTGCACAAAGGGTTTGTATATGGCAAAGACTTCGGTTTTCGCATCCAATTAACTTCATTTTTAAAATATGTATTGAATGAAATTTTATGGGTGAAAAATTCAATTTATTCATTAAGTGGGAATCAGCACTGATTAAAATTTCCCAATTGGCGATTAGAAAATGTCAATTGGCTTGTGGATGAGGCGAGGTTAACTGGAAGAAAGTTTCAGTCTGGAACATTGGGAACACTGGATAGAAAGTTCTTCGTCAGATTGAAATCAATTTAAATCAATTATGTTGTTGGAGGAATTTTCAACAAGGCGCCAATTTTCCAATCTCCTTCCGCTTCGCACATCCAAGCAGATGAATCATGTCGATTTGCTGCACTCTATCAAGGGTCACAAATTGCTCCCTTTAACACAAATGCCTTCTGCTACACATCATATCGGATTTCCATCGTTCCACACACACTTTCCATCGGTTCCGAAAAAGTGTCAAAATAAGTCGATGAGTCCCATAATGAGTCTATCGATTCCTCGTAAATGCTGGAAGAGATAAAATTCCCGTGAACTACTTTTTGTGCGCTTCTGTTTGATGAATTTCTCAACCAATTTCCATTTTCTCACATTTCGATTTAACAACTTTCTTCTGGATGAAAGCGACATTTCCAAATAACTCCATCTCTCCAGACGCTCCATGCGGATTAGAAACAGAAAATACACTCTTGTTTGAACTGTCTCTCGAATAACAGTCTTTCTTAGTATCACACTCGAACAAACACAAGATTATCCAGCCAGAAGCTCGTGAAGTGATCGAGAAATTGAGGTTGAATTGACATATAAAATATGGGCGATTGATAAAAAAATATTCCCTGCGTGAAATAATTTCATCCACAAATATTTGATAGATCTGCTTTTATAGGCTCTATTTAAATGTTATTTCAAGTAATGAGATGATGAGATGATAAAAAGAGTGCTGAAGACAAACACTTGAGTAAACACTCAGCGAACCTGCGCAAGAGCGAGTGAGAGAACATTTATTTCAAACCAAATATGGATCTAATTGGATGTTATTCGAAATGTGCCCACAAGAGGTGAAAGAAAAGGTGTATCTGGTGCAGAAGTACATTGTGCCAATTAGATTGCTTCAACAGTTGCGCAATTATGTGACAAATTTGCCCTCATTTGTCTAATAAATTTCTAAACACTGATGCTTGACAATGTTGAACAAGAACGATTAAGCCAAGGATTAAAGTTCAATTAATGACTAATTTGTATCTTTCTCCCCACATTTTTGCAATCATTAATTATCACTCCAATTATTACAAAGTGTCTCTTCGCCAAGACGTCCCTCGATGAGTCGCAGGAAATTTCGACTCCACCCTTGAAATTAACTGTTAGTGTTAACGATTTTTCTTTCCTTTTTAACACCTTAAACCCTTTCGGTAAATATTTTGACACGTTTCCACAACCCTTCATTGAAGCTTCCGTCACACCCTGTTTTCTTGACACAATTTACGCTTTTTATCACTCAAACTCGCCACAGTCTCACGAAAGACTTTATTGTAATTCATTATTCCCCAAAAAATATAATGCGCATCTCTTAAAAAATAGTTAGCATATCTATTTAGAAGGTTTGAAGTAAATTTCAAAAATCAAATATAAGTCCTGAAGAAATAGAATATTTTCAAAATACCGCGAAGTCTTTTGCCTTCGCTGGAATATTTTCCATATAACTCTTCCTTGCCATACTTCCTCAACCCTCAATAATAATAATTTTAGGTTATTATTTCCATCCTCCGACTGTAATTTCAATCACCGCACCATGAATTTTGCTCAATAATTCAGGATGATTCGACAATAGAAGCGTTTGGAAAGAAATGTTACACATTATTTATCCTCACTTCCCTTTTCGCTCCTCTTTCACTCTTATTGTGTCCTTTCAATCACCTCTTTTGGGGACCATGAATTGCACTGGGAAGGGCGACAAAGTGACACTGAGTAAATAAGTTTTTGTAGACCACGGAAAAAAGGGTTGTCAGCGACTCGCTTAATGGGTTAATGGAATAATGTAGCATGTCTGTGTTATTTTGGACTTTTCCGAATGAAACAATGTGGAAGGTGACAAGTATAAGAGATTTACACAGTATATAGTTCTGAATGTTTTCCAAAGTGAGCATGCATTTTTGTCGTCACATCGAGGTCACAATGTCCAATTAAAATGTCCCTGCACTGGAGCCAAAATTCGTAATTTCCCTCTCTCAACAAAGTTGAGGACAATTTCGAGAAAGTTGTTGAGGAAACTCGAGGAATTTGTGAGAAGCTCAATAATGAGAAAAACAATTTGATGAGAAGCATAATTTGCCAAAAGGACAGAGATAATTTTAATTAAAATAATCAATTTTCAACAAAATTATCCTTCTTGCACACTCTCTTTTGCACAAAATAGCTCATTTGCACATAAACTTTCACATGTTCACAGCTCTTGGCTGAGGCCCCAACCCACAGTGGCTCCCATTGAAACTATATACGAGGAAAAGGGTATCGCCTCTTGGGGTTTTGTTGAATTGTAATTCACCGTCACCACCCCCACAATATCCACCCGCACACCAAATTCTCTCCTCCGCCATCATCCTTAATGTTGGGCGAGAGTTTACATAGCTCTTGTGGTGGGAACAGAGCGAATTTATCAAATTATTTTCTGCTTTCTTATGAGCCAAGCCACCACAACAGATAAAACCATTCCCGTTTGTCAAAAATCTTCAAGGCTCTACGTAGAAACTACGGCATTTGCCAAATAGTTTAGGGCTAATGAAAAGAAAGAATTCTGCCGGGACAGTGATTAATTGATTCACGAGACTCTGCTTGGTATTTTGTGGAACTAATTTTCAATTTGGAACACACATTAACACGCCGTGACACGAAGCGAGTGTACTGGTGGAGAAATGGTCAAAATGACCCTAATTACTGATTTATTGTACAGAATTTTCAGGGTAGGAATAAGGGTTAATTTCACACTTTTTCACCCCCTTCACACATGACTCCCAGCTCACTGGCATATTCCACTTATTTTATACACAATTTCACACCAAATGTGGCTGATTTGGATTTTAATTAAATTAATTTAGACCAAATATTTCAAATTTATCTATTGCATTTAACTTATTTACCTGAATTCGAATAAAACATATATACTTTTATTGCAGTGTATATATGGAAAAAGTTGATTAAAATGTTTTCCAAGTTCGAATCAAACTTGCTTTTGCTCCAGAGTGAAATTGAATATACTTTAATTTAGATAAAAATTGTCAGAAAAATAAATTAAATGAATATCTACATATAATTAAGTCCTGAAATTTAATTGTTTATACTTTTAAATTGCTTTTTGTTCTTTGTCGCAACACTTTACTAAAGTCACAACAGATACAATTCTTATTATAATTCACTTATTTCCGTGCAAATTTCCTCTCCGTAAAACAATCTCCCCATTCGTAGTTCCTCACTGCTCTATAGGAAGGCAGGAGGTTTGTGGTGAGGTAGAAGCTTATTCACTTAAATTGCACTAATGATTTTGAGGTATTTCGCATTTACATGTCACTATTCTCTACCCTTCCTGTGAGCGGAGAGAAGATAATGAAGCATCCGACTTGCATTTGTTCACTCCTCCAAATTCCCTATTTCCTTTTTCACCTGCACACCGTCATGATGATATGCGACGAAGGAAATCCAGGTGTGTATCTGCTTTCACTTTTCCACCGCGCGTCTCACCTATAAAGCGAATTAAGTACGAGTGGTGGCATTAAAGAGTAAATTGGAGTCCCGCCCTGTGCGAGAGGGAAAGATTCATCAGGACGAGAACAGAGAAGAAAGGGAACATTCTACACATAGTACATACTTTCGGCCCCTTTCTTCATTTTGCCGCACACATTAGCGTATGTGGAGTCCTTCTGTCTTCTGGATGTGGAATTTACGGGCAAAGTCGACTTTCCGGCAGCTATTTAGGACATTTAGGGAGATAATATACATCAAACTCAACCCACTTGTTCCACACACGTCTTCGCTCAGACTCTCCAAACTATGTCTTTGTCTATTGCTGAATTCATGTCTGGCAAACTAATTCCACAAATAGTCAACTTCACGTTCTTCCTTTTGGAACTACGCCATACGGAAAAGCAACTATCACAAGGAATATGAATGAAAGAGAATGATTAGAAATTGATAACTTTATCCAAAAGCTTCTCTGTGGCTGTTTAGACTCAAAAAACAAAACTTCTCTCTGCTCATAAACTATATTGAGAGTCATAATTAATAATCAGACATTCCAGAACTACACATTTCCCCTTATTAGTCGCTCTTCTCAACTATATCACAGCTCCTGAAGATACCATGATATTCACATGTGAATGGCCACCATTGGAGAGGGTAGAAGACCTCCTCGAGAGCAACACTTCTCACATACACCATGTGGAATGTTGGGAAGGATTTCTAATTAAAACTGGAGGATAATATATTATTGTCATTTCATCGTTTTCCCGTAAATGGCAAATTATCATACTCTAGACACACAATCCGAGAGCCTTTTGTGAGTGAAGAAGCAGGTTTGCCTCATCCAAACATTTCTGCGGAACTTTTCTTCAGATTTTTCTCTACCACCACCAAAACCATCTTTTCGTCACACATAGAATTTCTGTGAGTTTCCAATTAAAGCCTCCAACAAACCGTGAAAAATTGAATGGCGAATGATGGAAGAGTACCATGAATACATACGCAAACTCCACATAAATTCGCGAAACATATTATTTACACGGAGGGGATCCTTTTTCGCATTCGAATCTCTCCTCCAACCCACTCGAATAACTTCCATGGTACACACCCCATTTCAAATACATTTTCACCATAGCGTAATTGGCAATTTGAGTAGATATTTTGGACGGAACGGAAAATATTTCACAATCATCATGCGGGAGGGAGTTTAAATTTGGAATTTAACACATATCGCAATGCCTGAAACGGCTGAAAACTCTCCTAAACTTGACTGGCGGAGGGTGAAAATACCCAAATTCCATAAAAGACACTCATATGGGGATATTTTCCACTTGTCTCGTGTGTATATGTAAAAGTCTTTTACGACTGTAATTTTGATGTCGTGAATTTTATGACTCAAGTGCGACCACTTCAGAATTTGGGTTACAAATTTGTTATGTGCTTTACAGGGGAAAATTGAATTGAAAGTCAATTATTGGTTTTTTTTTGAGAAATATACAGTGAAAAATTCTGAATTAAACGAAACTTTTAACAAATACATCATAAATTGTACATTCACGAAAATCATTGTGGAGAAACTTTCATCAAAACTTGTTTGCTGAATGTGATAAAAGTTTTATACCCACATTTATAGTGCTAAGAGATCTTCTGTTATATTCCATTTCCGAGATAAAAGGAGAATGGCAAAAATATTCATCAATATTTGTAAAAGCGAGCATAAAAGCGGAAGGAAGTTGTCGATGAAGAAAGAAGGTTACATGGTGGAAATGTGATTTTCACCTGTACAGCATAAAAGAAGTTGTTCAGTTGAAAGTTAGAATTTCCGGAATATTTTTCCCGTGAAATTGGAAAACACGTTGGAGAATGTGACTCTTGTGCATTTCATCAGTTAATAAATAAAGTACGAGCTCACGACGAAATCCAATTTCCACTCTCCACCCAATGCTTCCACGGAAGAACCTGAGAAGTGGCAATTTTTATTACCACCCAAAACTTTTCACCACCTCCTCGCCCACCCTCTCAGCCAAAGTACCTTTATCCTCCTTCCCTGTCGCTCCCGCTTCCGAGGCACGCGGGCATTTCCGAGCAGTAGTTTTTCCACCACAGAAGCACGTCGGAGCGCCTTGAATTATAAATCACAGGGACGAATGAGGTCGAATGTGGGGCAGGATGGAAAATGTAAATGAATAATGGATAGTGAAAATACCCCGAATGACTTGCTCAGAATTGATTCTTGAATCTTTTATATCTGCGTCGCAGATTCCCTCTTATGCATTTTGCAAGAAGTTCAAACTTGTGCCCAAAGCCCCGAATGGCGAAGCATCTTCTCCACTCTCTCAAATGTTTTACCTTGTGAATTTTTCAGGTGTTAGCTCATTAGATGGAAGTAAAGATTTTACCGTGGATGGCATCAATGGGTTTGGTGGCAAGAAAAAGAAGAAGAAGCGAAGACACAGGTAAGAGTTTCACCCTCACATTTTCACACTTTCATTTCACGATGGGGATCCTCTGCAACCCCAATCAATTGACTTTTCAATTTCTCCTCCATTCGAGACCCTTCCGATAGGGTTACAAGAACCATCGAGTTTTATATTATTAACCAGTCAATTACCATTCAGAATTATGTACTGAGCCCATCGCATTGACTAATAAATTTTGTACTTTCTCATTAGTCGAACCATTTTTACGAGTTATCAACTGGATGAGCTGGAAAAGGCCTTCAAGGAGGCTCACTATCCAGATGTCTATGCCAGAGAAATGCTGTCTTTGAAAACTGATCTTCCAGAGGACAGAATACAGGTGAGTTGGAACATCATCTCGTGAAACCCTGCTCAATCCTTTTGTCTACCTAAATCACTTATTCCTCACCTCCATTAGCAGACAAAGCGCGAACATCCCATAAATGCCTGTCATTGAGACAATTACATTCTTATTATGAAACTTGAAACCACACTTTTTCCATGTCTAAAGACTCTAAAAAGCAATAACAAAAAAAAACTCAAATCCATTTCAACCACATCTTCTCAGTGTGACTAGAGAAACACTTGAGGTGTTGGTGTTGGCAAAATGCAAAACAATTTTTTGTGCACTTTTTACGCGTTTCTCTAACCCTCATTGGCGTTCTTTTAGACAATTTCACAAAATACTCAGTAACTCAATATTTTTTATCTCAATAAAGTATGAAAAATCTTTAGGCGCAATTAAGCCATTCGTATCCTTGAATATCCCTAATAATTAACTCAAATTGGACTCTTTCACTTTGAAAGAATTCACCAGAAATGCTGATATTGGTAGAAAGAGAACCTGAAGCTTATTTCCATGGAGTTTAGGTTAATAAATATCAAGTGGATGAAGAGGAGTCTCACTTCCCTTCTGGGAAATCCATACCGAAGACTGTGCCAACGAGTGAGATGGAAACTGTGTAGTGTGAGAGAGCCTTTTCGCTTAAGAGAAAGGACGCATGCGTCTGAGGAGTCCTTCTCTCCTCCGGCAATGGGAAACCCCTGGAGAAAGAAGAGAATATCCATGGCAACAAAGAGGCGCTTCCAAGCCGAACGAAGGCGGGTGGGAAACAGGAGGGAGCGAAATTGGAAGTCAGGGCGACCGGAGCTAATAGAACATAAAATTCTTTCTTATATACTCCAATTCTTACCATGATTGGCTGTCTGGTGAGCAGGCCGATCCACTCCAGTTTCGGCCTGAGCGCTAGAGGGTGATGGAAAATCATCCTTGAATGAAAAATACCCCCACAGAATTGCTTTGGAGGTCCTGCTAGGAAGTGAAGTGGCAAAAATTGATTGCAGAACCGAATTTGAATTCAACTGGGACGCCCCGGAGGGGATTTTTCAACCACATGTGCCAATCTTATTAACCCTCGTGCGGAGGAATAATTGGAAAAAAAGTCGAAGAGAAAGACTTTCACGACAAGTATAATTGAGAAATGCACCTTAAAAAGATTATAAACTCCCCCAAACGCCTAGAGAGAATCCATTGAGAGAAAGTCTATCTCATCAGGGATAATCGCATTGACTTTCACCCATCCGAGGCCACATTTCTCATGAGGAGCGGCTCTTCGCTTCGGAACATCTCTCTTGCCATCCTTCTTTGCTCCAAATTAACAATTTTACAATTAAAATCAATACTCTTGGCTTTTCTGTGGCTGTATGTGTGAGGATTATGTGCTTTCCATGGATAACCGAGGGGATTTTTCTCTCTTCCCCTTCTCAACACCCTCTCGGGATTTGGCGGAAAAGCGGGCAGACGAGGGAAAAGCCACAAACTTTTCCCGTACCCTCTGTGGAGAGAAAGAGAGCAGAATGTTGGCACAATGGATGGAGAAAATAATTTCTGTAACTTGGCTGGAGATAACGAGACACCAAGTGGAGGCGAACTTTTCGTGAACAGTGAGACTTTCTGTATTTTTGGGTGGGTGAAAGTCAAGAAAATGGGAAGAATAAATTGGAAAATAGCGTGTTTTGTGTTCACTCAATGATACTTAAGCCATAACACCCCTCACAAGAATTTATCTCACCAAGCTTTGATTTTAAAAACACACGTAGAAAGTAAAAAGCAGCTATTTGTAAATGTGGGATGAAAAGTAGAAAAAAATTTTGTCTGAATTCGTCAAATGTTCTTAAATTACATCATTAGTAGTGGTCTAATTATTTCATTTGCTCAACATGGTATATTATATAAAAAAAATTTAAAGGTATTTGAATAATATTTTTCATTTGGGGGAATCTGAAAAATCTCTTACGCACTTAAAGTAAACCCTCATTATCAAATAGATTCGGATGAGTGGGTGGAAAAGTAAACAGAAGGTCTGAACGACATCAAATATTGGTAATTGTTAATTTACTTCCATCAAATACCACATTCTTCGTGTTCTCTCCCGCGGGAGTTCTCGCACAAATCACTTTCGAGCTCATCCTCAACGCCCCTTTGTCACCTTTATCCTCATCTCATTGTCACCCGTAACGAAATTTCAATTCCATTTGATTAAATAATAATGTGAGGTCGTAAAGCACATATTGTAGCATTTATGCAGAGCGTTGTCGTTCCATGTAGGGAGAATTGAGTCAATTAGGGGATGACACTCGTGTTTTTTGCAGTATCTTGTATCAAAATAACCAAACAATTCACAAATTGCACTCAATTTGCCAAAAATCATGCATTAATTATATGAAAATTTTATTGAAAAGTATTAAAAACGGCTTTAATTAATAAACTGCAAGAATGTACGTGAGATTCAGCCTTTTCCCTCCATTGCACCGTTCATGTCTAAAATCATCCCTTGCCATTTTGTACTTTGCACGAGGGACACAATTATATTATTGCATGAGAAGCGTACAATACAACTTGTATTACATGTTTGTTGTCCCTAAAATCTTGTTACACATGTCGATTATTGTCAGGTTCGCCTTCAAGTCAAACGACCCTGGAGGAATAAAGGGGGTTTTAATGATGACAATCGAGAGAGGGCTACTGACAAACCCTTCTGTGAAGCGCTGGGATAAAACGCGGCACATCAAGTGACTTTAATACCCACTTTGGGTGAATCAATTAATTTAAAATTCATTGTGATTTTCACAGCCCAGTTGATGGATCGATTTTGAGAGTATTTTCTGGGAAAGAGCGAAACATATAATCAAACGCCTTTCGAGGAAAAACATCGAGTAAGACAAAACGTACTGTCCATCACAGATACACACCAGTGAGATTTGATTAGAGACACAGCAGGTTATCGCAATCGTGAATGTGACAAAACCGAATTTTCCCCCGAATTGTGAACCACCCACTTCGGTATAATATTCACCCGAAAGATTTTAGTCCTATAACACAATATACATATATGAGTAGAATACCTATTTTAATCTAATCGGAAAGAAATACACAGAATGTTGACAATGGAGTCAATGGGAAAAAAAAACTAATTAAATTACCGAGTAAATTGATATTTCCAAAATTTACATCCCACCCCGTGTTAAAACATCCCCAAAGCCTAAATTTACTCCAAAATGAGATAGGGACTTTTTCACATTCACAATCACTCACACCATCGCGGATGGTGTGTTTTTTATCAGTGGTGTTGAGAGAATTTAGCTGTGGACAAATTGGTCTTTTGTGTTAATCGAAAGCGAATAATTGAAAAAATACAGTAAAATGGAATTTTTACTAGGCGGAAAAAAGCGGAGGTGGGCAAGAGTCGGTCTGTGTGCTTTTGACAGCGTAATTTGCGTCTAGAATTGTTATTGGGTGGTACAAACTCAATTGGGGGTTCCCAATCTCTCGGCATTTCCACCCCCGCGTACACTTGGAGGGAAATTGATTGCAGAGAAAGAGACGCGCTCTATGCGAATTTCTCTCTCAAGCATTTTTATCTCAGGGGGAAAATTGCCATTTATGAAAGTCACATCAATTATTTATATACCCTTCAATGGTTCTCACCACGAACATCTCAAAGTGGTAATTTTCGCCCACGTTTAGAACATTCACTCCTCCCGCAATCATTCTGAATTGTATAATTCTCCCTCATGTCACTGGCAAACACGGCAATTTTTGTATAATGCATTATATTAAGAGCAAAATCATGGAATATGTCAAAACGTGTGCGATGAAAGAGAAAGGAGTGATTCAATACAAAACTTCCAATTGGTAATTAATCAAATCCTCGGTGACATAATCAAATTGGAAGCTCGATGGGAGCTCATTTGCGAGGTTGACTTTATTCTAGCATTCCACCCACACCATTTTCATGCATCTACTTAGTCAGTCGCCCCGAGGAGTCTCTCATTTGCATTATACTTGATTAATTGCTTCATTGATGCGATCTAATGTGATTTTCTAGCGCACACAAAATTCCATCAAATCGTGTTTCTCTCTCCCTTTCACGCTGCTCTATCGTGATTCACACGTACTTACAGGATAATTGAGAACACTATTGCGAAATAAACATAACAATAATGGAAGATAACTGCCAACAGATTCAAATAAAGCGCATATTAATTTTTAGGAAAATCTTTCTTCTAACAATTCAGCCCCAACTAATTGTAATACCGAAGGTTTTCATTCAAAATAACTGCTATACAGCTCATTCTTTCCACACAGCCTTTGTTCCCCTCCTCTTGAAATTCCACACTCTTCTAGAATTCCTTCAAGATTGAGTGTATTAAAAGTGGAGTAATTGAGGGAAATGAGTTCGAAAGAGGTCGTAAAATCAACTTCCTCAGATGAGAGTTGAATTAATTAAACGGTTCTCCATGCAAATTATGAGTCATTTATATGTTCATCTAGAAAATGAGTGAAAAGCAAAAATCTAATTAGAATTGCACAGAAGTCATATTTAAATAAGACGGCATCAGCGCAAAAGGTGCTGAAGAAGAAAAGGAGGAATAAGACCTGAAACTTTATTCAATGAACTTGCGAATATTTTAAATTCAACCCATTCTTCTCCCATTCCATTCTCACTCTTTCAATATTAGTATTATTTAAAGATTTTTTTTCGCTGCACTCTTAAGCTCGTCTTAATTTTATTACGAGATAATAGAGTGACTTGGTAATTTCTTTTGTGAAATATTTCTTCTCTCCTCTGGCCTTTTCTTCACATTGGCACCATCGCAAGTCTGTAGAACGCGTACAAATTTTTAACAAACCGTCAAAGCATGAAGCTGCTAATTTGTCTGTCATGCTCTACTAGCTGATCTCATTATTATTATTTTTCTTCCACTGATTACAGAGCAAATAAATATTATTTTTCGTTACCAACCTCCTTGAAATTGACAATGTGTTGGAAGGGAGAA